CCGTAAGAGTTCCCTTCACTGGAACTAAGAGGCAAAACCCAACTCATGAAAAACAACTCCACACAATAATCCCCCCTCCACCAAACTTTGCACTTGGCACAATGCAGTCAGGCAAGAACCGTTCTCCTGGAACCGCCAAACCCAGACATGTCCACTGGATTGCCAGAGAAGCACGATTGGTCACTCCAGAGAATACGTCTCCACTGCTCTATAGTCCAGTGGTGGCGTGCTTTACACTACTGCATCCGACGCTTTGCATTGCACTTCTAATGTACAGCGCTGAGCGAACTACTGGCGCTTTATAAATACTGTATAATAATAATAATAATAATGTAAGGCTTGGATGCAGCTGCTCAACCATGGAAGCCCATTCCATGAAGCTCTTTATGCACTGTTGTGCTAATCTGAAGGCCACATGAAGTTTGGAGGTCTTTAGCTATTGACACTGCAGACAGTTAGAGACTTCTGCGCTTCAGCATGCTCTGACCCTGCTCTGTCATTTTATGTAGCCTACCAATTTGTGGCTGAGTTGTTGTTGTTCCCAGTTGCTCCTACTTTGTTATAATACCACTAACAATTGAGCGTGTGGAATATTTAGTAGCAAGGAAATTTCATGGATGGACTTATTGCACAGGTGGCAACCTATCACGGTACCAAGCTTGCATTCACTGAGCTCCTGAGAGCAACCCATTCTTTCACAAATATCTGTAGACGAAGTCTGCATGCCTGAGTGCTTGATTTTATACACCTGTGGCCATGGAGGTGATTTGAACACCTGAATCCAATGATTTGGAGGGCTGGCCCAATACTTTTGACAATATAGCTTACTTAAAAGGCCAGAATTAAAGAAGGGCAAACAGGCAGCAATCAATGCAGAAGAGCCATGCTTTGTCTCTTCTATGTGAAAGTTACTTGCCTGTCCATCCTTGTACAGAGAGACATGCAGCTCACTGTACAAGTCTGGCAATGCTGAATCTGACTGCATGAGCGGGAGTGATGCCATCCCCAGCCATCCCAGCAGCCAGGTATCGAGACCTGGAATCTGGCTGCCCGATGAGGTCAGTGGCCACGCAGAGAGCTTGGGGACGCCGCATCGCTTGAGCTGAGGTGGGTATTTTTGCAAAAAAGAAAAAAAAAAAATCAGGGCATGTCATGCTTGGCAGGTGATTCTGCAATCTATACAAGTGAATGGGGCTGTCTGATGGACATGGTTGCAGCATTGTGGAGAGGGATTCCAGTGTGAAATTCCTCTACAAACAGGTGTATAGGAGGCAGCATACCCCCCCCCCCCCCCCCGGTCACATGATAACAGTGGACCAGCTGCTGCCGAAAGCACCATCCTCCGCGGATTACCAGTCAGAAACCAGAGAAAGAGGCCACAGAGTCCTAGCTGGGATCTGACCCAAGGCAGAAGTGCCAGCCACTAATCCACTGTGCTGCAGTACGGATGAGAATTCTACACCCCTGTGTGAGCCCCCCATGGTCTGCACCGACACAGGTATGTCATGGGGTGTCCTCACAGGAAGTTGTGTGCTCCCCCCCAGACCACCAGTCACACCCCTCCCCTCAGTGTACCAGGGTCCCCCCCATAGATATACACAGAGGACCACACACTGCCAGCCCCTTACTGCGTGCTCCTCTCACATTCCCAGCCCCTCATGGCCTCCTCACCTGTCCACCCCTCAGGACTGCACACAGGAGCTCTTCTGCCGGAGTCTTCTGTCCTCCTTGGAAAGCCAAGCGGAAGTAGTCCGCCGCCTCAGTCTTCCTCTCCCCTGCTGGAGCAGCAGCTGTGTCACCGGAGAGAACGTCGTACGGCCGGTCCCACAGCGAGGCTTGGAGCGCACTTCCGGCTGAGCAGGTTATCATGGCAACGCGTCTCCCGAGCTCTTCTCCATTCACTGAGCTGGAGGACGTGGCTGATAAGAAGAAGCCGAGAGGTGCGCTGCGTGTGTATGTAGAGTGTGCTGTGTGAGTATATAGAGGATGGAGTGTGCTGTAAGTATATATAGGGGATGGAGTGTGCTGTGTGAGTATATAGAGGATGGAGTGTGCTGTATGAGTATATAGGGGATGGAGTGTGCTGTAAGTATATATAGGGGATGGAGTGTGCTGTGTGAGTATATATAGGGATGGAGTGTGCTGTGTGAGTATATAGAGGATGGAGTGTGCTGTGTGTTGTATATAGAGGATGGAGTGTGCTGTAAGTATATATAGGGGATGCTGTGTGCTGTGTGAGTATATAGGGGATGGAGTGTGTTGTGTTGAGTATACAGTGTGCTGTGTGTATATAGAAAATGTAGTGTGCTGTGTGAGTATACAGTGTGCTGCGTGTGTATATAGGGGATGGAGTCTGCTGTGTGTATATAGGGGATGGAGTGTGTTGTGTGAGTATACAGTGTGCTGTGTGTGTATATAGGGGATGGAGTGCGCTGTTTGTATATATAGGGGATGAAGTGTGATGTGTATATATAGGGGATGGAGTGTGATGTGTGTATATAGGGGATGAGTGTGCTGTGTGAGTATACAGCATCCTGTGTGAGTATATAGGAGATGGAGTGTGTTGTTTTGAGTATACAGTGTGCTGCGTCTGTATATAGGGGATGGAGTGTGCTGTGTGTGTATATAGGGGATGGAGTGTGTTGTGTGGAGTATACAGTGTGCTGTGTGAGTATATAGGGGATGGTGTGTGCTGTGTGAGTATACAGTGTGATGTATGTATGTGTGTGTCTATGTGTACAGTGGGGCAAAAAAGTATTTAGTCAGCCACCAATTGTGCAAGTTCTCCCACTTAAAAAGATGAGAGAGGCCTGTAATTGGCATCATAGGTAGACCTCAACTATAAGAGACAAAATGAGAAAAAAAAATCCAGACAATCACATTTGCTGATTTGGAAAGAATTTATTTGCAAATTATGGTGGAAAATAAGTATTTGGTCAATATCAAAAGTTCATCTCAATACTTTGTTATATATCCTTTGTTGGCAATGACAGAGGTCAAACTTTTCCTGTAAGTCTTCACAAGGTTGGCACACACTGTTGCTGGTATGTTGGCCCATTCCTCCATGCGCAGATCTCCTCTAGAGCAGTGATGTTTTGGGGCTGTCGCTGGGCAACACGGACTTTCAACTCCCTCCAAAGGTTTTCTATGGGGTTGAGATCTGGAGACTGGGGGTATGTTTGGGATCATTGTCATGTTGGAAGACCCAGCCACGTTTCATCTTCAATGCCCTTGCTGATGGAAGGAGGTTTGCACTCAAAATCTCACAATACATGGCCCCATTCATTCTGTCATGTACATGGATCAGTCGTCCTGGTCCCTTTGCAGAGAAGCAGCCCCAAAGCATGATGTTGCCACCCCCATGCTTCACAGTAGGTATGGTGTTCTTTGGATGCAACTTAGCATTCTCTCTCCTCCAAACACAACGAATTGTATTTCTACCAAACAATTCTATTTTGGTTTCATCTGACCATATGACATTCTCCCAATCCTCTTCTGGATCATCCAAATGCTCTCTAGCAAACTTCAGACGGGCCCGGACATGTACTGGCTTAAGCAGGGGGACACGTCTAGCACTGCAGGATCTGAGTCCCTGGCGGCGTAGTGTGTTACTGATGGTAGCCCTTTGTTATGTTGGTCCCAGCTCTCTGGAGGTCACTAGGTCCCCCCGTGTGGTCCTGGGATTTTTGCTCATCGTTCTTGTGATCATTTTGACCCCACGGGGTGAGATCTTGCGTGGAGCCCCAGATCATTAGATTATCACTATATATATATATATATATATATATATGTGTGCTGTGTGTGTATACAGGGGGTGGAGTGTGCTGTGTGTGTATATAGGGAATGGAGTGTGCTGTGTGTGTGTGTATATATATATATATATATATATGTATATAGTTCAGCTCTAAAGGATAAGTTCACTTGCAGGTTAAAAAAATGTGCATTTATTTATTTTCTTGGGAGCCTGTAAAGCATTGCACTCGATGCAGTGTCAGACTCGTGCAGTACGGTGCAGTACTCGGATACAGGCAGGCAGTTACTGCACTCCAGTTAGCTCAATGGACTACCAGAGCTCTCACCAGCGCCCTTGCAGTATATTGAGAACTTCAAGCCATCAGACGCAAAGGCTGATGGTACTTGTAGGCATTCATTCACATCATTTAAAAAAAAATAAAGTGTGAAAATACTCATTTGGTGTCCATACCACAATACATAAATAAACAATAAATCCCTATTGAATGTGCTCTCAGTTTCATACAATAAATTCTAATTCACATAAATTAATAAAACAGGTCACTGTGAAAGCTTGCAATGTGATACCAGTGCATATACAGTATAATTAATGTGCTCCAGTGTTTATTCCCCACTTTAATTCTATATACACCCATATGCGAATGAGCCCCTAGGCAGAGATAGAACCTAATGATTCTAACACGTTCCCTGATGAATCAGAATTAGACCTCTTCAATCAGGGAGCATGGGTTTTGCTGAGCTATAGGTCGGACTCAGCAGGGGGTACATAGGACCTCTGCAGAGAGACCATTGCTTCCACGCAGACAGTAAGGGGTTTATTTACTAAAGCTGTAGAGTCCAAAATCAGACTCCCTTCTGCATAGAAACCAATCAGCTTCTAACCTCAGCTTGTTCAATGAAGCTTTGGCAATGAAACCTGGAAGCTGATTGGTTTCTGTGCAGAAGTGAGTCTGATTTTGGACTCTCCAGCTTTAGTAAATAAACCCCTAAGGCTCCAGCTGCTGCCAGAGAACAGGATTTTCTATTTAGGTTGTGGCTGCTTTCTAAATAAAAAATGTAAGACTTTACATGTTTTCTTTTGATGCACCCGCAATTTTTAAAGCTGATTTCAACTGAAAGTTCAGATGAACTTTAAAATGACAACTATGACAGCAAGTTTGGGGAATTGTTTTATTATGATAACTATTATTTTCTTCCCTTAGTGACAGATCCCTGTGATATTTGCTAGAGATACTGAAGGTCTGAGGATGGAGACATTAAAACGTGCTTCTATAGAGAATCCAGTACTTCTGTACACTTTGGAGGGGAACGTCCAAGGCCTCCAGTCCATATTTGAAGATCCAGCTGAGGTTCATCATGAGCAATGCAGCAAACTGCTCCTGGAGGAAGATCTACTAGGGAGAAGCTGTCTGTTTTTAGCCTGTATTCTTGGTCGCACAGAGATTGTAAGAACATTACTTAAGTATGGAGCAAATATCAATCAACAAACAACTCGAGGTACAGTTTGCTTTATTTTATTTGAACAAATATATACATCTTAGACTTGACTTGACTATTTTATAAATGAAATATGTATGGTATCCATGAGTTGGTCCTTCATGGGAATGGTCCACCATCCCAATATGTTAAAATACTACCAACTAAACCTTTTAATTGTAGGACATTTAAGGTACACTAAATAGTTTTAGACACGCATTAAAGATGGAGTTTAGTGATTTTTTTTTTTTTTTAATCAGCACCAGGGACTGTATTTGCATGAATGACAAGTCCCATGTGTTGGTGGCTGCTCTGTTCCTTGGTACCTTCATTCTTCTGCCCCCAGATGCTCCAGAAGCTGCAATCTTCTGGTGCTGCAGGGGTTAATATGAGAGGTTTCCCTGTCACAGACACTTGTCAAATGCCGACTATGCTTGCTCTAATCATAGAAGCTGTACTAACAGTTCCCTCAATGAAAATCAATGAAATAAAAATAATGTTGCGCTGGTCAGTGATATAAAATTAATAATGTATGCTAAATTACTGTCCAAAATTAGTTAATTGATATAAATAAAATCTGCTGACTCTTCAGAATAAACAATATGTCACAAAATAAGTCCCATTGTTCAACTAATAGATGATTTTCCGTACATAGTAATATTAGTCTCTTGTGTTCCAATCTTTTTTGTGACAAACTGTGACACAATTTTCATGCTCCACCATGTTTAGAAGGGTCCCACCACAGGGAAGATTAAACACTCACCTGAAAAAATGGACCTATTTAAATAAATTTACTGGTGTTAAAAGGCATAACAGATAAATCACAGACATCAGCAAGAATCTCCCAAGCGTGGCAGCAGAATCCTTTATTGCCTCTTGTATGGTAACTAGTTCACTTTAGCTCCACAGTACCAAAACTCAAACAGATTAAAAATAACATTATAATATGCACACACATTATTGAAATGCATCATCAGCGTTGTAAACAAAGCAACTTCGGTTTTTGGCTCCGGACCAGAAGTGACGTCACTTGGCTCTACCTTGCGTGTTACGCCACCAACCTAAGAATCTTCAAGGTGCGTTTTGACAAAGCTCAGTTGTGACTGCATGTGGCCTTTCTTGAGGAGCGGCTTTTTTTCTTGCAACCCTCTCATACAAGTTACATTTGTGGAGAATTTGTGATATTGTCACATGCACACAATGGCCACTCTTTGTCATACATTCCTGCAACTGCTTCAGAGTTGCTGTAGGCCACTTGGTAACCTCGCTGACCAGTTTCCTCTTGGCTCTTTTTTCCAGTTTGCAGCGACGTCCTGATCCAGGCAGGTTCTGTGTTGTAGCAAATACCTTCCACTTAATAATAGACTTCACTGAGTCCCTCCTGACTTGTGCATATCCACAACTTTATCCCAGAACTCTTTTGACCGTACCTTGCCACTCATAGTTGATTGTTTGCTTCAGTTATACTACCAGGGACTGAAATGCTACAGGAAAGCTCTTTTCATGCTGAGCTAATCAAAATGATCACAGATGAAAGTCAAATGGCTTTGTGTGCCATTGAGAAGGTGACTAGCTACACCTGATTGAGTTTACAAGTCATTTTTAGGAGGGGGGTGGGAGTGATCCTTTTTGAAACTCAGTAATTCTGTTTTTTAATGTTTTTAAATTTCTTTCTGACATGTTGGTTTTATATCTTTCACTTGGATGTTATAAGTTGCAGTGAGTAAATACAGCTGGATAAAACAAAAACTGTGTCTGTCTTCATTTCAAGCTGCAAAGCAACAAAAAGGGATTATTTTAAAGGGGGTGATTCTTTTCTATACCCACTGTATATCAGCATATTTAAATTTTTTTATTTCACTGATTTTGGAGAGTATATTAACATAATTTTAATAATTTTATATCACTGAGTAGCACAAAACTATTTTTATTTGATTAGTAGTTATTGAGTGTGGTGATGCATTTAGTGTGTTTGAAGAAACTCTGGTTGCTCATTTCTGTAAAGCAACACATTGGTTGAGAAAATATATTTAGGTATTTTTAGTGAGTGGTAGCGCACAAAGTTTTTTCTCATAGATTCCCTCAATGAAAAGCATTCTGTGAATGGAAGAGACAGACTTTTCAATCATCTGCCCGTCCGCCATTTATAGAGCACTTTGTATTGCAGGGACTTGCAGAACAGCTTCTGTGAACAGGGCAGGAGGTTGGAAAGGGAGGGCATAGTGGCACTTTTGACAAGTGCCTGTGACAGGTGAAGCCACTCATATTAACACTTGTAGCGCCGGAAGATCACAGCAGTGGGGAAATGAATATTTCAAGGAACAGAACAGCCACCAGCACACAGGACTCTCTCTCATCATTTTTTTAAGTACTGTCCCTGTTGCTGATTTAAAAAAAACGTAATCTTCAGTATAAAATTATATTAATTAAGCTGGTATCAAAATAAGATAGCATTGCTGAACTGCGCCCCTCTCTCACTGCTAATGCATGTTGTTTAATGGTGTGCCACCCGGCATTCATTTTTTTGCCCCCTTGCTCTGCAGCTGTTCCTCCTGCCCACCCTTTTAACCGGCCCTGTGTACAAATGTTGCACAAATTCATTGTAGAGAGCAAGAGGATATCGCAACTCATTTCATGAACGTCATTCATTTTTTCAGGACAATGGATAGGAATACATTAATAATGAAATTACCAATATGTGTCCACAAAAACAATAGAAACCATAAGCAATAATCTACAATATGTTTATACCAAGTGCTACACCAGCCAATATAAAATCATGCACCACATTCGTGTGTATGACCTCAGAAGGGAGAGACCAACAGAGGATTTCACTACAGCTAACCCTGACACCCAAATATTACAATTTATATGAATATTTTATAACCTAATGCAGCTGGTTCCTTCCACAGTTGCTGTAATAATGCCGTCCATTGATGCAAACTGTAGTGTCCAGAACCAGAGTCTGATCTTGGAGGGGCACGTTACATGCGAAGAGCAGAAGTAGCCATTGGGGTTGATTTGCGAAAAAAAAACCTGTACAAGTTTATGGAGTTGAGTTATTTAAAACTGTAGAGTGCAAAATCTTGTGCAGCTCTGCATGGGAGCAAATCAGCTTCTAACTCCAGCTTGTTCAATTAAGCTTTGACAAAAAAAAAAAAAAATGGAAGCTGATTGGTTTCTATGCAGAGCTGCACCAGATTTTGCACTCTCCAGTTTTAAATAACTCAGCGCCATAGACTTGTACAGTGCAACTGTTCACACACTCTGTGCCTGGGGATAATTTTCTCACTGGCAAGAATCACAATTCTTTCTGCCTATTCCTAAAGTGCCCTTTTGCTGAAGGCTTCAGGAAAGCTTTATACATTCTTGTTGTATACAGTGCTGTGCAGACAAATATTTACAAGCCGAAGTACACCTAGTTGGAATTATAATTAAATTCTCTTTTCAGCAGTAACCAGCTTCAACTGCAGTGACACCTGCTGCTGAAATTAGGTATCATAACATGACATGACAGGACTGCACAGTGGTGTTCTATTGACTAGCAATGGTCAGATATCGGGTACATGTAATGGTTTGCAACCACCTTAACACTTACCTGCTCCATGCAACAATATTGCACAGAAACCATGCTTTCCTCCTCCTTTCCTCTAGCAAGCCAAGCACTAAAGAGGCATCTGTGTATGCTCACATGGGTCCAGTACAGAGCTGCGTGTGTCCGTAAACACACACAGCATGGGTAAGCCATGCCCCTGCTCCCTTCTCACAGTTGTTTGATGACAGAAGGAGCCTATCTCTCCAATGTCCTCAATTTCTCCTGTGACACCAGCAAGTGAGGGGAAAATTGCTGGAGCTGGAGACTGCGAGCCAGGTAAGTGTTTGTTGGTGGGGGATGGGGGGAGATAGGATTGGAAGGGTTTTTTTTTTTTTTTTTTTTTTTTTTTTTTTTTTTTTTTTAACCTTAAAGTTAAACTAGAGGCAAAACCTTTTTTTTTTTTGTTTTGAACAGAGTGGAGAGGGATTAGAACCCCCGTCAAGTTTTTATTGCTGTCTATGTCCCGTTTGGGATGTTCTCCCTCTCTATTTGTCCTGTTTACCAATATCACTGAAAGTGAAAGTAAAAGAAAATCCCAAAATTTATGTTTTCCCCAGAAAAGTAATAGTGGGTAAATCTTCCATTGGGGACACTAGTTCTGGTCACCTAGGGGTCCCCAAGGAATTCCCTTAATTTGCAGGGATTTCTTCTCACTTCCTGTTTGATTATGGGAGAGGAAGTGAAGGGAAATCTCTGTAATGGGTCACAGATATAAAAAAAAAAAAAATCTGACATGGGTGATACCCCACCCTTGCTCTACCCAAAATTAAAAAAAAAAAAAGTTTTGCCTAAAGTTCTACTTTAAAGTAGAGTGTTTTAATGTAAAAAATGCTTACACTTTAGTAATACTTTAAAAACAATGGCAATACATTGATTTAGCAAACTAAATGCCACTTGGTTAGAGTTCACATCTATTTTAAAGTGATCCTAAACTCTGTTTATAAACAGAAAAAACAGTTATTTTCAAGAATGCATTGTTAACTCAAAAAGTACCTTCTATTGCCTCCTCCAAGTCCCTTTTTGTTGTTGTTGCTGTGATCCAGCTTCCTTGCTTCGTTCCCGAGATAGACTAGGAATTTATGGACTATGGGATGTGTAGTGTGCATAGAGCAGTGCACATGACCGCAACTAATGCACACTGCTAATTCCAAACAAATTGAAGTGAGGGGGAAAAGAGAGATTCGGAAGCTCACTAGTGACATTACAATGAGGCAGAACAATGAAGGAATAATTTTATGAAAAATACTGTAGATTACGGGACTATTAAACAGTGGAGAATTTTTGGAGAATATGGATATGGTTTAGCCCTGGTTCACACTAATGCGGTGCGTAATTTACAGCGTTTTCAGTGCAAATTCCGCATCACAATCGCATCCGTTCATACGAACCTATGCGGGTGTGTATGTTAAGTTAACAACACCCCGAC